TTGTGTGTGATGTATCTTCTACTCCAATTGTGTGTGATGTATCTACTACTCCAATTGTGTGTGATGTATCTTCTACTCCAACTGTGTGATGTATCCACTACTCCAACTGTGTGTGATGTATCTTCTGCTCCAGCTGTCTTTGATGTATCTACTACTCCAATTGTGTGTGATGTATCCACTACTCCAACTGTGTGATGTATCTTCTACTCCAATTGTGTGATGTATCCACTACTCCAATTGTGTGATGTATCCACTACTCCAATTGTGTGATGTATCCACTACTCCAACTGTGTGTGATGTATCCACTACTCCAATTGTGTGATGTATCCACTACTCCAACTGTGTGATGTATCTACTACTCCAATTGTGTGTGATATATCCACTACTCCAACTGTGTGATGTATCCACTACTCCAATTGTGTGTGATGTATCCACTACTCCAATTGTGTGATGTATCCACTACTCCAACTGTGTGATGTATCTACTACTCCAATTGTGTGTGATATATCCACTACTCCAACTGTGTGTGAGGTATCTACTTCTCCAACTGTGTGTGATGTATCCACTACTCCAACTGTGTGTGATGTAACTTCTGCTCCAGCTGTCTTTGATGTATCTACTACTCCAATTGTGTGTGATGTATCTACTACTCCAATTGTGTGTGATATATCCACTACTCCAACTGTGTGTGAGGTATCTACTACTCCAATTGTGTGTGATGTATCTACTACTCCAATTGTGTGTGATATATCCACTACTCCAACTGTGTGTGAGGTATCTACTACTCCAATTGTGTGTGATGTATCTACTACTCCAATTGTGTGTGATATATCCACTACTCCAACTGTGTGTGAGGTATCTACTACTCCAATTGTGTGTGATGTATCCACTACTCTAATTGTGTGTGATATATCCACTACTCTAATTGTGTGTGATGTATCCACTACTCCAATTGTGTGTGATGTATCTACTACTCAAACTGTGTGTGATGTATCTTCTACTCCAACTCTGTGATGTATCTTCTACTCTAATTGTGTGTGATGTATCTACTACTCAAACTGTGTGTGATGTATCTACTACTCTAATTGTGTGTGATGTATCTACTACTCAAACTGTGTGTGATGTATCTACTACTCTAATTGTGTGTGATGTATCTACTACTCAAACTGTGTGATGTATCCACTACTCCAACTGTGTGTGATGTATCCACTACTCCAATTGTGTGATGTATCCACTACTCCAACTGTGTGATGTATCTACTACTCCAATTGTGTGTGATATATCCACTACTCCAACTGTGTGATGTATCCACTACTCCAATTGTGTGTGATGTATCCACTACTCCAATTGTGTGTGATGTATCCACTACGCCAATTGTGTGTGATGTATCCACTACTCCAATTGTGTGTGATGTATCTACTACTCAAACTGTGTGTGATGTATCTACTTCTCCAACTGTGTGTGATGTATCCACTACTCCAACTGTGTGTGATGTATCCACTACTCCAATTGTGTGTGATGTATCCACTACTCCAATTGAATGTGATGTATCCACTACTCCAATTGTGTGTGATGTATCCACTACTCCAATTGTGTGATGTATCTACTACTCAAACTGTGTGATGTATCTACTACTCCAACTGTGTGTGATGTATCTACTACTCCAACTGTGTGTGATGTATCTACTACTCCCAACTGTGTGATGTATCCACTACTCCAATTGAATGTGATGTATCCACTACTCCAATTGTGTGTGATGTATCCACTACTCCAACTGTGTGTGAGGTATCTGCTGTGTGTAATGTATCCACTACTCTAATTGTGTGTGATGTATCTACTACTCCAATTGTGTGTGAGGTATCTGCTGTGTGTAAGTGCACCTTAGATTTTGTATTTTGAGTAAATTGTTTAAAAAATACAGTAGACATTATATTAATTGAAGATAAAATACAATGTCTGTGGAAATCATCTGCTCCACATCTGATTCCATCTATTTGGTTGTGCATGAATCGGAATGTCTGCTCGGACTGACAAAATCAACATACGGGAGTTTGGCTTGGAGTGACAAATTCCTATCCCCAAGACTGTATGACCAGAGGGGTGTCATCAGCTTTCCAATAGCAGTCAACTTTCCCTTTACCTGGAGCAATATTCCAGCAGTTCCAGCTTTTGGTGTCTACATTTCCCAACCTTTAAGGTACAAACAGAGATTTCAAGGAGCGCCATACGACTCTAGCTTAAAAGTGGTTTGATCAGTGTTATGGGATCTTTTGCCTTGTTAAAACTTTCAAAAGCATTAATGGAAGACATGCGGATTTAGTGACCAAAATGATATCCGATGAAATTCCCTCCTTTAACTTGTACCATATTTTTCCGTGTTTAGGTGAACACTTGACTTGCCTTTGCATGTGTTTGTGACGCGTGGCATTGGTGGGGTAGGATACGCGCACATTTTCGCAAACACTTTGTATCATCACTATTTGATTCATAAGCAGATACTTTTGATATAATCGGAATTGTATTGAGGACCCTTATGTTGATCGGAGGGTTTTCCGCTTTTACTTAGCTGGTATCAAGTGCAATCCTGCGTCGCTATATGCAAGTATCTTTTGACCTCATGAAATGTTCATACCTCGTGTAGCTGTCCCCAAGCATATGAATGGGAAGGCTGCGAGAGCTTGGCGGAAGGGGGAGGGTCAATGAGGTCTATAGTCTTATCATTGATTATTAAATGTATAGACCACAGGTCCACAACAGGAACAATGCCCTTACGGGGCATTGGATGGAAATCGTTGTATATGTACAGTTGTATATGTACTGATGACGTCATCCACTGCGGAGAGAAAGACAAAAAGTGTGGCAGAGGCATATTTGTCAAGCTGTGATAAACTACCTTAAAATTACGTCTCTGTGCGCAGTAGCATAGTGGATAGCATCGCAGTAACATAGTGAACAGCATAGCAGTATCATAGTTGATAACATCGCAGTAGCAGTGAATAGCATAGCAGTAGCATAGTGGATAGCATCGCAGTAGCATTTTAACAGCATAGCAGTAGCATAGTGAACAGCATTGCAGCAGCATAGTGAACAGCATAGCAGTAGCAATGTGAACAGCAATGTTATCAAATATTGGAGATGATAATCGAGAGAGCTCAGTTCATCCTACATATGTGTCAGACTGGTCAAAGACCATAGATGCTAAATAGCCAACCAGACAATCAGGAATTCACCCAGCAAAATCCCTTCCAAAAATGGGTAATTCCTGGCCAGATGATTTGAAGATAGTGCTTGCACAGTTGTCGTTGTCCAGGAAGGACTTGGGTTGAGGCTGGGACGTTACTTTGACAATTTTGAAAAAGGAAGTTCTTTGATATATCACCGTTACAAACAGGTAGAAGACTGACGAAAAGACTCGACATAACAGTCGAATGTTGTCATGTGCTTCATAGAGATTCGAGATCTTGACAGTTTAGTTAATATGTTGACATTATACTTTAACAACCAGCAACAACAGAGACGACTACCCATTATTGTACAGAGCGTCACATCAAACTTACTGGATGACGTAGCAATTACATACGTTTTCTGTCTCAGCAAATAGTGAGTACACATCATATACAGATACACAGATGCACAGACAGACTCGATATTTATAAGGGGCACCGTCAGATTTTCACTTCCACCCAAACTTGAAGAGAGAACTGTGTGGCAAGCATTTTGTAAATGATAATGACGTCATTTATATGCTACTTATATTCTAACTCAACCCAGTGAAAGCAGTGAAGAAGACGGCATAATTTATATAATAAGTTTATTTTCTGCAAAATGTCGGACGTTCATAAGATAATATCAGCAAAAAAGGTTCATCCATAAGTAATAAGCAATACATTCATACTGTCACAACATGACGAGATCATTGACTGAACATACTCCAGTATACACTACTGTAGAGTCACGTAGACACCTACACACATAAATGCTTTTGGTATCACAGAAATATAACACTTTACACTGATAAAGTCGTAAGTTAAATAATCGACAGTGAACGAATACAACCCTTTTTACGAATGAAGATGATAAGTATTCCGCGCATATACATATGTTGTGTTGTATTCACTGTCCATTATTTAACTTAATTATTAATATATAAGCCGTGGCGCATATTTTATTTTACAACGACAAAGGCATTCACGTAAATGTGGCAAATATTTGGCGGCTGAAATGAACATTGTTCACTAATGATCAAAGTATGCAAAATATAAATTTAAAATAAATAAACATAAACTTTTATGTACGATTTGACATAAGTATATACAACGTATATTTACAAGGGCCATTTAGTTATATAATCACTTCCCAATCCATGAGACTTCATACGGAAACGATTACCTAAAGGATGGTACACGCACAGTAGTGGTACTTGCACGATACAATAAATACATTAAAGTACTAACATAAAGATACTGGTCCCTAACCTAACTCCACATGTACAAAGTCATACACTGTAAATGAGATCATTGCCTGTAAATACGGACTCCTAAACAATGGAATCACTTGAGCGACTTGTGATCCAAGTGCCTGCCAGCAGGACTTGAGGTGATCTGAGATTGAACTGATGTATCAAGGTAGCACCACACAATGAACAGACGGCGACGTATCAATACTGTACATGTAGTACTATAACTTAATGGATGGAAGACCGGTTGGACGATGTATTCAGCGCTACGGCATATTGCGCATATCTCACAGATCTGAAAAATGAAACATTTAGTATATTAGATACATAGCATAACCGATCAATAAATTATTCAGACATTTGTTTCGTGCTGGTATTTAAATCTGATTCATATTTCAACAAAAAAGATGCTTAATGCAAATGGGTGTATATAATAAAGGGTGTTCAAATACGACATGATATAACGAAGAGGCACACACAATATTTAGAGCTTAAATACATATGCATTGGAATACTCAATACATGAATAGGAATACATTAATACCTGCACACAGAACGTCGATAAGTTGCAGATTAGTCTCGCGCAGGGCGTCATAGTCGGCAATCTGGAACACGTGACCTGCAGATGTCGCCATGACCTCCACCTCCGTCATGTCAACGTCCTCGCCAATGGCTACCACGAAGATCTCGACGTTGTCTTCCTTTGCCTTCTCAATCTCATGGAACACTCTCTTCGGAATCTCCAGCTTATCATCCACAAACACAACCGCCATCCGCCTCGCCATTTCACGTGCACCTTGTTCCAAGGTAAAGCTGTGACGGTGCATCTTTCGTACGACTTGACTTAGCTCCGGAAAGTCCCGGTTTCGAAGATCTTTGGCAAACTCGTCTTTGTCAGAGTGCTTAAAAAGAATGGAGAATATATAGAAAGTGGAAAATGTTAACGAGGCAGTAATCAAATCAATGAAAAAATATAGTATACTCACTACCAATAAAAACGCGAACCTCACTTCCAAAAGAAACGCGAACCTCACTCCCAAAAGAAACGCGAACCTCACTCCCAAAAGAAACGCGAAACAGAAACACATCGAGAAGTTTGTAAGTTAAGATGAGATGTTTCCACTGTGTACCAATGAATGACAAAATCAGTCAAGTGTTACATCAGCGTGTATTTATTCTTATCACGATATGCTGCACGTGATTTCCAAACACAGGCTTATCCTGCTCGAGACAAATGGTGCGTCTTGGGTCATGGATCTATGACGTCAAATGTGCTGCGTTCATGGGCGTCGGTTCACACAACATAATAGTATGTTCGTTTGTGCATCGAACCAATTTAATATCTCTTGAATGTGAGTAAGTCTTCATGCATATAGTAACCAACATGTATGGTGTTCGCGTTTCTTTTGGTAATGAGTATATATATAACAGTCTATATCTAAACCAATAAGTACTAATGTACTGTAGGTGAGGTGAGGTTAATCGTAGATTGTTTCACTTAAACAGCAGCGTATATGCACGTGTGTGTGTGTGTGTGTGTGTGTGTGTGTGTGTGTGTGTGTGTGTGTGTGTGACTAATACCGGCTTCATAGTGCTTGTCCACTCAGATACCATGCCGTTGATAACACTCTTTTCGCGAACACCTGGTGTCATTACTGATCCATTCATATAATGTTTACCACTAATTTGCCTTTTACACCCAATGGAATCTGTTTCGATGGAAAATCAAGGCTACTGTTGTTCTCTGACGTTGACGTGTTATAATAACATGGATACCCCTCTAAGACTAAGTATGCTGACCCCTTATTGCCCGGAACACAGGTAGGGTACAACCAAGTACCACCTTTGAACGTCTTTTGATATGTCGCGGCCGGACATCGAACCACCGACCTTCCGCTCTCGGGGCAGACGCTCAATCAAATACATCACGAGGGCAGTTCTGTAGTACTCTAATTACAATTATTGCGGCCTAAACAACTTCCCATCCATTTTTGCCACTCACCTCTCCAAGTTCTATATCCCCATCGTGGCAGTTCCTGGAAACAACGCCGGCTCTCATGACGTCATCGGCAAAGTTAAACTCGTCCACGACGGTGCCGATAAACTCCTGTATTTGTCCCGTCTTGGTAGAGCCCATGGCAGCAGAGTCGAACACGAACATCACATCGGCTAAACTGTCGCTGTGACATGCTGGAAATGTAAGGATAAATATTTAGACAACAGCAAATGAGCGCTGTCAAAATGCGTACATTATAAACAGTAGATCGATATGTAGGAAACGATCAGTTCTTTAATATTATATTATTTATTTGGCTCGAACTAGTTGGAATCAAAAGTAGTAAACACTGAACTGCAATGTTTACTGTCTTTAATATTTACCTGATTGGTCACCCTGCATGATAGCCTCTGCTGTGTGAGCTGGAAGAAGAGTAATATATGCAATGACATGGTATATCGATATTTGCAGTCATACCATACCACATGTATAATCTTCAATATATAGGATAAAAGTGATAGCGTAGACGCTTCTGACGAAAATACGAGAGCATGACTCTTATGCACATTTTACATTGTTGTTGCACAAACACTGTTTCTTCATATTCATTTATATGACAAGAGATATTTCTACGTCAGCTTTCATGCCATTGGCATATCCAAACATTGAAAAACATATCTGTGTGCCACCACATCAAAACATCAGATTGAGTATGACCTCACCTTCACAAGCACCCAGTGCTAACTTGCCCATGATGCTTTCCAGAGCACCATAGCTGGCCACTTCAAACACGAAACTCTCTGAGGGTTCGCTGCCGATGAGGGTCAACTCCTTGTAGTCAAACCTGTCGCCGATACCGACAGCAAAGATGTTGATGCCTTCCATCTTGGTCTTCATGGCCTCTGACTCAGTCTGGGGTGGATTCCGTGATTTTCCGTCAGTCAAAACTATGGCAATCTTGTCTATGCCTTCACGAACGATCTGTGGGGCAAAGGCCCTCTCGCGCATGTATCTGATGGCTGTTCCGGTGAGAGTGTTTCCGCCCATGTAGGGTATCCTGAGAATGGCCTGTTTGAGCTGTTCTTTGTCCTCATATCTATCCAGGCCGAACTGTGGGTAGTAGTAGCTGGAGAAGGTGGCAACACCGACCCGTGTGTTGTTGGGGCCAATGTCGAACATATCGACGACGTCAGTGACGAACTTCAGTTGAGTTTTGAAATCGGGTTCCCAGATGCTGGATGAGGTGTCCAGGAGAAAGAAGAACTCAGCGGGCTTCCCTCCACAACCTGGAAAGTCAGTATCAACGTGAAACCTACAGTTCCAATATTGGAAGACTGATAAACAATTTCGATAATTTTAAAAACTGCCTGTTAACTTTATGTTATTAATTTGATTTCATTATATTTTAATTTCTCTTTTTTTAAAGATCGTAGGGTTACTTTTGATACTTTCTATGAGATTGATGTTTGAGAGAAAATGTGATAGCTCACCTGGACCAAGAAATAATTGAGATAGGCCAGCCTTCTCATGTCTTTTATGATGAGCGGGTTTACTATGGACAATGGCGATGAATGCCTAGATTGAGAAAAGACATGATTGAACATTACATCCCCATACATAACTCATTTACACATATTAGAGATGTACTTACATGGGGTATACATGTACTTTTACGAGAACATTTTTGGAACATTAAAATACCTACATAAAATACCTATAACTGTCTCTTGTATTTTGAATATTATCCGAGACATGCTGAATAAGAATATAACAGTCATAAATGATAGTGTATACTAATTGAGACCATTTCAAACCAAACTGATATTATCAACGATAAATTAATTCCTTCATTTCACTTTCTAATAAATCAGGGCGTTAAATTCAAATAGACTCACCATTATAACAAGTGTGAACGACCCCAAAAACATAGTGTAGTGTTTTTCAAAGGTGAAGCCGAAGATGATGAATGGCGAGTGTAGTCCGATTGACATGCCTAAGGATCGTACATTTGTTCTTATATAGTGTAAGAAAAGACGTGGGTGATATCGCTGTAACATGCGTGCTACGTCATCAAAAGGGTAGGTCACCTGCTTCGCCATACTTGAGTGTCCCCTGACCTGAAGAATACTCACATACCACGCATAGATTGTGTTACTACGCGCGGCATGAATGGAACGCGCGCGAGCGTCGGGCGGAAGGAAGGGGAAAGGGCAAGTAGGGATAAGACAAGCATAGATTATAAAGATTGCAGAACTTGATAAAGGTAGGCATTTCAAAAACGACCGGATCCTCAGATTGTCGGAAGCTTTGTTGGGATTATGGCGATACAGATGTGCAATGGGACCCACCATGAGATGTCGCCATCTTGTGGGACAGGGGGAGGGACTGACACGCATGGGTGTGGCTTTCAGAGTTAAGTAATACTTATGGCGATACGTTCGCAAATGATAAGGAGAAATACCAAATATAGTAACCTACGGTTATAGCGAACTCAAAGGGACCACTAATTCTAGTTCGTTATAACCGTAGTTCGTTATAAGTTATACAACATATGTAACCCAAATGGTCGGGACAAAAAAGAAGAAGTTCGTTATATCTCTCAGTTCGTTATAAGCGCGTTGGTTATAAACACAGTGTACTGTATGGAAGAAGGGTTCATATACGTCTGTAGTATGAGCATCAACACGCTATGAAGCGGCTTACCTAGTTCGCTGCATTTGCTCCGACCGTATTGGATGCTATTGTTATACTTGAAGTTGATTATTGTTCACTTGGAATTAAATATTTCACCATATTCACCGTAAAATAAACAAAAAATATTTTTCTGTTATCTTTAACTACTCCATAGACTTAAAACTCGTATTCCTTCCAACTAAACAAAACCTAATATATTTTTAAACCAATTACAAACAATGGGGCATTTTCATCGTTGTGTTGCATCTACTATGACGTCACATCCTGTAATATGCAGTGCAGCGCGTCAACAGGCCCTGCCCACGTGATGAACCTGACCCTTACCTATCTCACACGCCCTTGCAGTGACAACTCATATTTCATGTTACCTGAGGAGACATGTATTTACATAACCCTGGACCATAGGCTTGGCGGGCCCTTGAAACACACTCATTGTACTTCTATACAGCATTGCAAGTTTGTATTACATGTCATTACAAGCAAATGTTTCACGAGAGTGTTTTCTTGCCATTTGACTGATATCGTTGACATATATATTGAATGTGCAAATCTACAATGACTGACGTTAACTGTGTCAACGTCTCAAACTCAATTTGAATAAACTTATATATTACTCAACAGAAGTTAAGGAATACGTGCCACGACAGATTATCTAGAAATATGAAAACACCGGGAGCCTTTAACTTCTTTTGAGTTATAACACATTAACACATAAAACATTACACGTATACATGAGGAAAGAATACATTCGATTCAACTACTATATTTGTGACCATAAGATATCAGTATTTACACCATGTCGTGTTCAGCCCCAGTGTGTTTCTCGAGGTTAGGTTTGGACAGCAAGCTTGACTCCACCGTTTGAGCCTGTGTATGTTTGAATCAAACACGCGCATGCGCTGAAGTAACCTGGTATGAACTACATACAACAATATATACGCTTCTCAGTGTGAAAATGTCCCGTGAAGATCCGGGGTAGAATAGGTCTTCAGCAACCAATGCTTGTAAGAGGCGACTAACGGGATCGGGTGGTCAGACGTGCTGATTTGGTTGATGGATGTCATCGATCCCAATTGTGTGGATCTATGCCTATGACATCAATCACTGGACTGTCTGGTCGAGGCTCGATTATTTACAGACCACCGTCATATATTGCTGAGTGCAGCGTTAAACAACAAACAAACAACAAAAACAAAAGAGTGTGAAAGTTTTACAAAATGTATGTGAACTAAATGTATGTCTAAAAAAATGTACAACTTTTACAAAATGCATGTGTACAAAATATATAACTTTACGGTACGTTTATATGTTAACTTTTTCATAATAATTTTATGAAGAATTATGCATTGATATCAGCTTTGTTTGGTTTTTCTTCTTCAGTCGATTTCTGGCACTGTTCAGAAGGACTTTTATATTGTATGAAGTCATGTCTGCTTTTCCTTGTTTTTATTTGCAACTGATCACAACAAACTGCTTTAGGTTCCTATAGAAATATACTCTTAAAATCGTAGGGGATACTCGGAGTGAGTGAGTGAATGAGTATGGTTTTACGCCGCTTTTAGCAATATTCCAGCAATATCACGGCGGGGGACACCAGAAATGGGCTTCACACATTGTACCCATGTCGGGAATCGAACCCGGGTCTTTGGCGTGGGATGCTCGGAAATAACGTAAAACTTTCAAAATATTGAGAGATATTAGTTTCTGGAAATAGTTGTACGGTAGGGTAAAATTTAGTTGTATAATAATAATGAACGAATTGGGAACACGTTACATCCGGTATTGAAGTGTGACAGTAGATGTTATGACGCCAACGATCTTGAAAGACGACAAGAGAAAATATAGGAAATTTTAAAGTACCGCGACAATTTGTGAAACATTTATTCGATCGACGAGGCATATTGCGTATGAGTCTTCCAAGGGGGATGTGGGGGAGTCTGTTCCTATCCTCTTGCAGCACCTGGTCATGTTCAGCCAACGTGGTCGGCGGACGTTGACGCACCCGTGTCTTCCTATCCTGTCCCAGGCGTGTTCAGTGGGAGAACGGTCTTGGCTCATTGCTGGCATTCTATGTTGTGCTGCTGGAGGTGAACATTGACGTGTCTTTCTCACACTGTGAGTGCATATTTTATTTTTTAAATCTGCCTATCTGTAAACATATGACACAATAGAAAACTACTGTTATTATTATGTACAGATAAAATTAAATAAATGCAGCAAAGAGGGTTTGGGTGAACCTGGCACAGCCAGGCTCGTTAGGATCATCATCAGCTCAGGGCCCTTGCCCCCTCTACACGCAGCCCAGAGAGCGAATGGAACTTCTCCCAAGAACCGCTGCTTAGTCGAACCCACCGAGAAATTTTCGGAGAATGTGAAGACTCCCCAACACTGGAGCCTTCTGCTTTACACAGATTGTCAGAAGTATGCCTGGAAGCAAACCCGGGTACTCTCCCAATGACAGTCAACAGATTGGGATGTATCAAACCTGAGGCACCGAGAACAATGGGAAGTCGGATAACTTGGTACTTTGGATGCAAGCGTGACATTTCGAAAGCGAGACCCACATATTTGTCATGGTTTTCCTGGATCTAGACAATCACACTAGTGTCAAAAGAGATGGAAAATGCAATGATATAAATGATTTCATTGGATTTATCAACAAGGACAAGATCGGGTGTGTTGGTCTGGATACGTCTGAGGCTGTATACAGGCCTATTCCAAAGAGTTTTGTATTTATAATTTTCCATGACGCTCTCTACATATTCGGGGTCGTACCATGGATGGAATGTCAAAACCATTCCATCATGTCGCTTAATATAAGATACCGTGTTTGTACCAAAGCTGGGCATACACTGACAATGTATTTGGACATTCTCATTAAACTCATTGCATAAGCTACTTTTCATATTTACATTTTGATGTAAAATCACACATTGGCGGTTTCGAGAGGAAAGTGACTGGTCCTGAGCAGCAAACAGAAAGCCTTCTGTTTCACTTTTCAGGCGGGTCGACTTCATCCAGCCGAGGACTCTGCAGGGTTGCTGATCAACACACTGCACATAAACTCTAAGCAGTGATCGTTCAGATAGCCTCTCCTGGCCGATTTGATATGGCACTTCGCTTGGTTGACACTCATTTCTTTACGGTCCAACAGTACAGAAACATCAACATCGACATCTAGATGATTTCAATCTAAAGTTGATTTTTTTAATGAATATATTCATAACGTTGAATTATATATTAAAATACTCATAAAGTTGAATTTTATATCAATATACTCATAAAGCTGAATTTAATATAAATATACTCATAAGTTGAATTTTATATAAATATACTGATAAAGTTGATTTTATATAAATATACTCATAAAGTTGAATTTTATATAAGTATACCCATAAAATTAAATTTTCTATAAATATAATCAAAAAGTTGAAATATATATAAATATACTCATCAAGTTGAATTTTATATAAAATATACTCATCAAGTTGAATTTTATATAAATGTACTTATAAAGTTGAATTTTATATAAATATACTCATAAAGTTGAATTATATATAAATATACTCATAAAGTTAATTATATATAAATATACTCATAAAGTTGAATCATATATAAATATACTCATCAAATTGAATTTTATATAAATATACTAATAAAGTTAATTATATATAAATATACTCATAAGTTGAATTTTATATAAATATACTCCTAAAGTTGAATTTTATATAAATATACTGATAAAGTGGATTTTATATAAATATACTAATAAAGTTGAATTTTATATAAGTATACTGATAAAAATGAATTTTATATAAATATACTCATAAAGTTGAAATATATAAAAATCTACTCATCAAGTTGAATTTTATATAAATATACTCATAAAGCTGAATTTTATATAAATATACTCATCAAGTTGAATTTTATATAAATATACTGATAAAGTGGATTTTATATAAATATACTCATAAGTTGAATTTTATATAAATATCCTCATGAAGTTGAATTTTATATAAATATACTCATAAAGTTGATTTTATATAAATATACTCATAAAGCTGAATTTTATATAAGTATACCCATAAAATTGAATTTTCTATTAATATACTCATAAAGTTGAAATATATATAAATCTACTCATCAAGTTGAATTTTATATAAATATACTGATAAAGTTGATTTTATATAAATATACTCATAAAGTTGAATTTTATATAAATATACTCATAAGTTGAATTTTATATAAATATACTGATAAAGTTGATTTTATATAAGTA